TGTTTTTTTCTTCACAAAAAATTAATCCTCTTGGGAAAAACAAATTGTCTCAAATCAAAATCGTATTCTTACACAAAAAAAACGAAATGTCAGAAAACAACCTTCAATTACGACTGGCGAGAACAAGATTGAAAAATTCATACATCATAAAAAAGAAGTAGACTCCATTTGAGCAAGGCGGAGAATTGAGTTTACGGGCATAACATGTATGTATAATGTGAGGAACATTTTAAAGATTTTTGATGGGTTGTCAGAAAAAAATACATTGAATGTTTCACAGAATTTGAAATAAAAATTTTGAAATTCGCATACTGTGAAACCTGTATTATTATAACGACGTCTTCAATAGATAGACCCCTCTAATAGAAGGGATCTCTTCAAAATATGATTCTTGAAATTGAATTATGTCGTACGTTTTCAGTGAAAAACATTTCGGAGAATTCAAAATTTCTCAAAAATTTACGGAAACACTCCATTTTGTTCAAAAACTTGCTCAATTTTGATGACACTGAAAGCCTTCAACGAATTTTAAACGAAAATTTACCGGATTTTTCGATGGAAAAGTTTGGAAAAAATGCCCGGAAAATGGAAGGGCCCCTGTAATAGAAGGGCCTTCAGGAGGTTTCTTGAAACAACAGAAGGGCAGCAGGCCTTAATAAATGTATTACGGTTGTTCAATTTTTTATGTTGAAGTTTAATGAGATTTTGAAAACATTTCAATTTTTTTGTAAATCGAAAAGAAAAAAGATGATGAGAATAATTCCCAATGTCAAAAATTGAAAAATTGTTCGATAAATCAAAAAGATCTCTGGGTTAAAATGATAACGGAATAATATTGATATTCACCAAAAACCAGAAACTTGATACCGTGATTGATCTAATAGAAACTCATTACATACGTTTACTTTGAGTTCAATTGTCTGGGCTCCTAGAAGATATATCAAAGCAAGGCCAACTAATAAAATGGAGGGGATATTGTGATGAATAATTTATCTGTTGAAAATTTGTTGATATCTTCCCAAGGAACTAAGATAATGGAGCTCAATGTGGACGTATTGGGTAATGTTAGATAAAATACGGTATTAAATAACAGTTTTATTTTTCAAGTCCTATAGCAAAAAACCTGTAATAGAAGGGCCCTCACACCGGCAAATTTGAATTAATTTTTCTTGACTCCTATGCAAGATATCGAAAATTTGTCTGCTGGCTAAACACTTCTGATATTATGATAAATGGTTTATCAGTTGAAAACCAGCTCAAGTTTTTTGAAGTAACTGAAATAATTCAGCTCAAAGTGTATGTAGGGTAAATTCATAGAAAGAAATGGTATTCATAAAAGTTTTTAATTCGTATAATTTGAACTTAAAATATCTGCATATGTCCTAATTCTTTTTTAATTTGCCTCTCACAAAATCCATACAGTTTTCATTCCAAATTATACATTTTCCAACAAACGTCTTCACCTGGAGGATGTACTTTATGATGGCAATTAACTGTGAACTCTATCAAAGAACTTTTATCCTCTTGTTTCGGTTTACAACTTTTTTATGAGTGGCGAAGGCGGATCCGTTTGAATTTTGACAATTAAAAAGAAAAAATACAACTCGCAGCTTTTCCTTTCTTCCTATTCTTCTTCGCTTTTTACATTTCTTCACATCGTTTACGTGTAGACGTAGTAGTTTCCTGGCCGTCAGCTGAACAAACTGTTCATCTCACGAAACATATTTTTCTTCTTTACTTTTCATGCTTTTTCTTCGTTTTTCTGGTCATTTCCTCCTACAGTTTGCTTCTTTTTCACATTGACTCTGTTCACGTCATCAGAATATCATTCAGTTATTGACATAAAGTACACAAAGCTTTCGATGGTATAAAATGTTTCTATCAAACAGGTTTCCTGGTAAGTGTCATAGTTATGTGGATCAGATAGTTCCTGTTTTTTTGAGCTAGCCTAATTTTCTTCTTGGATTTTTTTGGCTATTGCTTTGTGTTCGTGAAATTGATAAAAAAAGCTTTCGATTAATCATACCAAAATGATTTTATTATTCATATTTTCGCTTTTCAAAAAAGCCATTTAGTTTTACCACTCAAAAACTTTCCAAAAAATTTTTACAACAACAAAATTTAAACTGCAACACACGCTTTTCTCGCATATGCAGATATATTCTAATCCACTTGTCTGTATGAAGTGATTTTTTCCGGCAACGATTCAAAGCCAAGCCAACGGCCATAGACAGTATTCAAATAGACAGAAAAAACTAGTAACCACGAAAGGCTCCTCGAATTGGCATCTAGCCAGAGGGGAAACAGACTAGTCACCGTGACGATTTTTTCATTGTCCAGAGACGAACTGACTGACTGTCCGGGCCGGTTGAAGCGGTCAGTATTCTTTTTTTCTGCCTTTCATCCCCCATTCTCTTTTCATCTCAACCTAATCTTCTGTGTCGGTGAAAACTTTAGTAAACTAATACTTCATATTCAAATGATTTGACAAAACGAACAGTGCTTGCTAGAAAAAAACGAAGCTGACTTATGATTCTGTGATGTTTGAACAATCCCGTTATATGAAAAAAAATAATACAACCAAAATTTTTTAGTATGTGGTCAGCAAACATTTCCCCTATTTCAACTTGACCGCACCTATGAATATTACTTTTCTGTAATTTTTTCGGAATTACTAGATTTTCACCAGTGATCAATGTTTATATCTCTTTGTTTGATAGTTTTTTATTGCTGCAAATGTTATTCCTCCTTTCCCTCTTATCCAAATCTTTACCACGCCTATCTGATAAACTAATCAGAATATGTTAGATAACATTACAATTGTTACAATGTAAGATGAAACAGCAATAAGAAGCTGAACGTGTTCAAGTTTCAGTATTATGATCCAATCATATCATTGATAATTTATATGCCAATTTAGTAAGTGCTTTTCTTTTTTTCACTTTTCATTATTATTTGTGAATCATGGTTTAGAAGTGTGGTGTGAAGGGGGAAAAGGTGGAGAAACGAGGATTCAGGAACCGGTCAGAGGGTTTCAATTAGCAACCTAGTCTGAATTTTCACAACTAGCCAGGGCGAGAAGATGATGATAGCCTAAATTCAAGTTGCCGCTTCTTTTCTTTTTTTTTGCTTGTTAGGAGTTTTGTTTTTGGATTTTTACGCTATCGAAACCTTGACAAAATTTGAATGATTCTGAAAAGTCGAAGAACTTTTTGAATGTTTAGTAACTGTTACATGAAAGAAAACCTATTGTTTTTGAAATTATAAAAATTCTCTATGACGTTTCATTCAATTTTTGTCGAATTCTTGATTAGTCATCATTTTAGCTTTTCCTTTTTTGACTATAACACGATTCTTCTAGATTCTTCTCTATTGTTACAACGACCTGACGAAGACCTCTAGAACGGATAAAATACCGTCTCTTGCCCTTGATAGCTGCTTTCACTCGAACTTTTTTCTTCTTGATGATTTGATAACAAGGATAAAGTTTCAATTTTCTCCTTCACCACCTGATTGCCAACCACCAATTATCGCCCTTTTTTCCTTGTCTGTATGGATGGATTCGTCCAAAAAACCAGAAAATTGTAACATTAGACACCACAGGGGCGCATTTTCTTCAACTGACCATCCAATTTATGAATGCAATCATGGGCTTGCCCAACAACGCTCAACGCTTTGGTGTTCCCATTTCTCTTTCGTTTTTCCATAATTTTTTCATGTTGCAGAATCATCTGGAGAAGTGTTCGCTTTTTTTAGGTACTGTAACTTTTGTCAAATTAATTTTTTTGTAAGATGGCTAGAGTTCAAAAATCAAAAGTTTCTTTTATAATTTTTAAAGAACCGGCCAGCCAAAAATTGCTTATAATCTGAGAATTCTGCTGATCATTTTTCCATAATTTAAAGTTAAAATTTAAATGTTGTAATTCATTTTGAATCTTTGAGTTTTTTCCTAGGCTTTTCAAATGTTTTATTACCCTCTGCTTCTAGGTTAAATTCAAACGCTCAGTTTAAAAAAGGGGTTGAAACACTTTTTCTTGAACTTTTGTCAAAAGTGTATATTTGCTCATTCCTCCTCCCAGAATGCGTGCTCAAAGAAAACCTGAACACACCTCGATGTCTCATTCTTTCCTCTTCTCCCTACCTTATCCAACCGTTTTATTCATTGGTCACTTCAATTCAACCACCCATTTCAAGAGTCAAAAGTGTATAATAGACGAAATATAAACGGAGGGAAAAAGTGAGACAGAACAGTGAGGGATCGAGGGAGAAACAGAGTCGAACCGGTTAGGATGTTCGTGAGTAGTAGAGTGTATGTGTTGCTTCTTCAACTTTTTCGCTGATGATGAGGATGATGCTGGGGCAAAAGGAGTAGGAGGAGGAGGATGATGCCAAGTTTTGGTAGGCACCATGCCGTCTGATACGGTTTTTTTATTCGAATCATTTATTCCCCAGTTGAGCATTTTAATTTTTAAAGTCTGAAATATATCACAACCCGTTCGTGTTCAACGTTTTCAATTCATTGACTTATCTACCGTAATCCTTTCATTCTATCATAAATCTCTTGAATTGGTTCTGGGAAGAACCTATCTATTACAATTTCCCTTTCACTTTTCCGTTCGATTATTTAACTTCCTCTCTAAATCTTCTGCTAACAAAAACGTTGTACAGAAAGACGGAAAAGGCCGACACGCGATTTGCCATTGGTTAGAAAACGAACTGGCTACGGCAAAAAGTGACCAAAGAAGACAAAAAAGAGAAGAAGTTGAAGTAGAGGCAGAAGCAAGAGAAAAGGGCATAAACACAGACAGTTAAAGACGAAACAGCTACAGAAAAGGGATACAGAAGCCTCGACAGAAGATTGAAGGAAGAAGCTGCAGAGGGTGACACAGACACAGAGGACGGAAATCGCGAGGCGCAGCGCAAGCGGGCGGACGAATCACGAAAAAAACGACGAAAGAAGATCACACCGCATATGAAAAGCGATTCGCGTCGAACGGCACATGCCACCGTTATTCATAGTTATCACCTTTCTCTTTTCCACAGCTTTTCGGATATCACAGGTCAGTTCTTGTTTTTCAAAAAAAAACTTTAGCTTTCTTGAAAAGTGAAATTGAAATCTTTTATTTAAAATTATATTTTATTTAACAGTAGAAAATTATTCTACAGTGAAAATATGTTTGCTAATTTTTGAGATTTTTGAAAACTGAAAAATTCAGAAATATCTAGCCTAGCATTTTTTTTTTAAATCGTGACTTTTTTTTTTTTGAAAATTGAACTCCTCCAATTTGAAATTCTAGTTTCTTTTATGATCTTGAAAAAATTGTATTGAAAATTTGGAAAATCACTGAATCCTATAACTATATCTTACAGTAATTTTCAGAGTGTACATCATCATTTAAACGAAGAAGAGCTCAAACAAGTCTTTGGTGTTTCCAACAAGCATGAAGTAAGTTTTTCCTTCACCTTAATGATTACTTACAATGTTTTCCAGGTTCCCGAGTACAGTCTCATTGAAACCACCAGACATCCTCTTAAAAATGGAGGCTTAAAAATGAAATTTGTTGCTTGGAACGACACCTATCACCTGAATCTTCGCAAAAATTCACGAATCGTCAGTCCACACATTGTAAGTCTTTCATTTTCTATGAATTTTCTCTTTTTGCAAATGACCTTCCAAAAGCTTATCATTGGAAAACGAAAGGAGAAAAGCTGAACAGAAGACAACTTTCGCTTTTTATTGCGTGAGACTCTCTTACGCAATATATATCCTTCATATCACTTTTCCTTTTGCTTTTCGTTTCCACTTTTGAAAAGAATTCGTCAGATTTGGAAGTCTGGGTGACTCAACTTCTGGCTAGATGAAAATGAAAGCAGAAGCTTTTGTGTGTCTTACAGTTTACAACTACCACTTTAAAAGTAATATAAGGAAAGTACCTGCTTTCAGATCTCTGTGATACGACATGGTGATGATGCCGTCACCACTTACGACGGTCTACGGGATTATAACCAATGTCATTATCAGGTAGAAAGTTACAACGAGAAATACCTGGAAGGGGTTAATCCGAAATTAAATATAGAAAAGGATCATTATGAGATTTCTGGCTTTTCAATGCACTTCTAAAACATTGTAGGGAGAAGTCAAGTCACATGGTAACATGAAAGCCGCAATATCCGATTGTGGCGCTTTAATGGGTTCGCTTGTAATGGAGGATCATTTTCTGGTGCTTCAAACGCTGCCCAAACGAGTTCACCATCTTCAGGTAGGTGCTAAGCGGCTTATGACCTGAACAGACTTAGTTTCTTTATTTAATCCCAGTGCAAAGAAGAAAAAGGAATATTACAATCTTGCCACAGTGAAATATTATAAAAGGTTAAAAAATGGAACAAATTGAAAATTCCAGAAATTCGGGAAAATTGATAAATATGAAAAATATTAAAAGTGTTGAAAATTCCAGAAAGAACGCCACCTGGTTTACAAAAGATCTGCGGGACTTCTGACAGATACCGAAAATAAAATCCGTGAAGAAATCACCAGACTTCAAGAAGAACAAGAATCTTTCTGTGACACTAGTGAGCAACTAGATGATCCTGCAATGAGTAAGTGTTCATCTTAACAAACTAATATCAAATTTACTTATCATACTTTGTTATGTCGCCACGCGTCTCTATTATCTCGCTTCCGCTTAACCGTTTCATTTTCTTTGCTATTCAGCTATTCCAGCCCATCTGCATTTCAACTACACGATTCCAACATCTGCTCAACTCGACTCTCCCTTCATTTTCCCAAATATGGACCCAATTACTTTAGAAATTGGATTGTTTCTGGATTCTAAACTTTTTGAGCATTTCGAGAGGTATGACAGAAATTTTAAAAGCATAAAAATATTAAGAAAATTTCAGAGAGTATATACAAGACGCAGAACAACATCTGCTCGAGTTTTCATTGGCTCTAATCAACAACGTTCATGTTTTGTACCAACAAGACACATTAACGCCAAATCTTGATATTGTGATAGTTCGGTACGAGATGTGGAAAACTCAGCCGGTAAATTTTTGAGATTTTTCACTTTGATGAAAATACGAATTTTGCTAAAAATGCTGAAAAACGAGTACTTCCATTAATTCAAAATGCTTTCAGAGCTCTTTGAGCACTGGTGTACACAAAAACGGTCAAGCTCAAAGTCTCCTTGATGCATTTTGTCGCTATCAAGCCCACATGAATCCCGGTACTGACCTGACTGATATGAATCATTGGGATCATGGAGTTCTTCTTACCGGATACGACATCTACCATACTACAACATCAGTAGCAGGAGTTGCTCCAGTCGCTAGAATGTGTGATCCATTATTTGCATGCTCGTTGGTCGAAGGTCTCCATCTAGGAAGATCTTTTGTTTTGGCTCATGAGATGGGTCATAAGTAAGTTCTTTATTTCTTGAAATGAATTTTATTCTAAATTTCAGTATGGGTATGGTCCATGACGGAGTACAAAACCAATGTAATAAAGGTTGTTGTCTGATGTCTGCTGTAAATGGAGCAGGAAAAACTACTTGGTCCGATTGTTCCGTGAGAGAATTCAATGCTTTCTTGCTTCAACTTGAGTATGTATTCCCTCGAAAATGAGGAAAACCTTCCATCTAAAATTGTTTTCAGTGAATCCGGTCGAGGAAACTGTCTTCGAGATGCTTCTCCTGGTTTGATATCTACCAATCATTTGAGTGATACACGTCTACCGGGCCAAAGATTCACAGCCGATCAGCAATGTTCATATTTTTGGGGGCGCGATTATAGGGTGGAAATTCCAAATGGAAAGGCTATGGATGTAAGTTTTCAAATGTATAATAATTTCTAGAGTAAATACAATATTTCTAGGACATTTGTCGTATCCTATGGTGCGGAAATAGTGGCTCCACAATTTCAACAGCTCATCCGGCTCTCGAAGGAAGTTGGTGTGGACATAATAAGGTAATTAATTCATTAATATTCACTATTGGCTAAAAAACTGATTTTTAGTGGTGCCACAAAGGACATTGCACATCTTGGAACTTTGATCTACCTCCAGTCCCTATCGATGGTCAATGGAGTGAGTGGGGTGGTGCGGAGAAAGGATGTCCCATTCAACAGTGTGCCGTGTCTGGAAGTATCACTATTCAAGCACAACACAGAGACTGCGTTAATCCAGCGTGAGCTTCACTTAAAACTCGAATAGGAAACATATTGTATGTTTTAGGCCAAACAACGGTGGGCGGACTTGTGAAGGTGCCAATATCAGAGGAATCGTTTGTGGTGCAACCAGTAGTAATTGCTTGGGATTCACTCGAGAAGAATTCGGAAACAAAATATGCTCATCCATCAAGTTTGATCCTCATAAGCCAGATCAACAGCTTACAGGAGAAGGTTTTGAACGTGAGTTATTGAAATGCTCTGATCTAGAAGCAGAACTGTTCATAACTGTTTTAAACTTCGAAATGAAGTTCCGTAAAGCTGAAATATCTACAACACCGGTAAATAAGATACGACAACGTATTTTTCAGTTGAGTTTTGGTCGTTTCGACTGCTTTAAGGAGTCTAGAGCAAGTTTCCAATTACCTTGAAAATTTTGTAGTGTGTAAAACAAACCTAGATTGAAATCTTTGCATTCACAGAATTTTTTTAAAACTCCTAGTTTTTTTTAGCATTTGCAGTTTCTGAAAGAGATCTGTTTTTTTTTTCAAGTTTTTATAAGGGAACCTCAATACCTCACAAACCCAGATTTTGATGAAAAGTTCAGGATATGTTGAAAATTGGCAAACAAGACATTTATGAAAATTTTAGAATCCGCCCGCCAGTTTCATCCAAGATATATCTGTTTCAGTACCAAAAATCGCAGTTTCAGTGCAAAACAGCAATTTTCAAAGACGATTTTCTCCACTCCTAAAAGGTTCCAGAATTTGAATCTTTTTGTGTTATACTTAACATCTAATGAAATTTGATATTTCAAACATTTCCTCAAAGACAAAATGATTTTCTATTTTTGAATTTTTTGCACGATTTTCCAGATTTCTTCGAAAATTGAAAAAATATTTTCTGAGAAAATGTTTGAAATACCATGTTTCATAAAATTTCAAGTCAAATACAAAAATATTCTAGTTCTGGAACCTCTTAGGAGTACAGAAAATCGTCTTGAAAAATCACTGTTTTGCACTGAAACGGCGATTTTTGGTACTGAAACTAAAACAACTCGGCTGAAACTGGCGGGCGGATCCTAAAGTTTTTGAGATGTCTAGATAGGCGATTTTCAACATATCCTGTAATTTTCATCAAAATCTGGGTTTTTGAGGTGTTGAGGTTCCCTTGTTACTAGATAAACGAGTTAAACAGGGGTGCTAAAATTAACTGAAAAATACGCAGCTGTTTATCTTATTGATTGTTACTGTATCACAAATCAAGCTCATCAATGTTTGACGAATTGGAAAATTTCAGATTCCACCCAACCTTGTCGTGTTTGGTGTCATCTCATCGGCTCTGAACTCATCAGAAACAAAGGCCAATTCCCTGACGGTACCCCATGCGGATTTGACGCTTACTGTGTTGGTGGCCAATGTCTAGCACTATCATGTGACAATAAAGCTCTTGTGGAGCAACAAGAAGATTGTCCAAGACTCGAAGGAAGAAGCATTCATCAGTGGGAAGATTGGTCTTCTTGGTCAGAATGCAGTGTTTCTTGTGGTCCCGGTGGTCGACAAGTCCGTGAGAGGAAGTGCTCATCAGGAAGAAAATGTCAAGGAGTTTCGGAAGAAAGTCGAGCTTGTGAAGGTGTTCTTCGGGACTGTGAAGAGTTTGGAGAATGGAAAGATTGGGGTCCGTGCAGTGAAAAGTGTGCACTTGGAATTCAGAAACGATTCCGTCCATGTCTCACAGACCAATGCGCCAGTGAGCATTTGCAAGAGAAGCGGCCTTGTGATAATGTACGTGTTTTTTTTTCAAAACTTTTGATTGCTTATGCTGGTAAAAGTCAGACTGAGCTTATGATTTTTACAGGAAGGATGTTGGACCAACTGGGACGAGTGGTCATCATGCTCCCAGACGTGTGGTGGTGGACGTAGATACCGATTACGGTATGAACTGAAAAATACTATTTCAAACTAGAAAGCTGTTTCAGAAAATGCCTCGACTTTAAATGTGAAGGAGATGATTTGGAGAAAGAGTCTTGTAACACTCAAAAATGCATCTCACAGACTTGGGGAGACTGGTTGCCATGCTCGGTGTCATGTGGTATTGGTTTTCAAATCAGAGAGCGATTATGTGACGGAGAATTGTGTGCAACAGCGAACAAGCAAGCAAGGACATGTAATCAGCAGGTGATTAAAGATTTCCAGTTAAAAACACAAGGCAAAAAATGTTCTTTATCATAAAAAAAGACTTGTTTTATTTTTCAAAAAAAACTTTACATTTATGATAAAGTTTCGTTCAAAGGTTCGTAACAAAAATCGGAATTTTGAAAATTCCGAAAATTGCGAACGGAACAATTCCAAAGATTTTTCTTTCCGGATTTAGAGATTTTTAGACTACGGTATGTCGTAGGCGCACGCTGAAAATTCACTTGCGGGACTCGACTTTTAACGTTTGTTGCGTTTTCGAATTTTTTGTCAATTGTTAATCAGTTTTTGGTCTTTTTGTGATTGGAAAATGTAATTTCTTCTAGAAAAGTTAAGCATTTAAAACTTCTGAAAACTTCGAAATGTTCAATATCGGAATATATCGAAATTCAGAAAATTTCAAAATCGGAATTTATCAAAACTTGAAAATTTTGAAGATCGGATTTTTCTTCATTCCGATTTTTTCTCATTTCGAATATTCTTAATTACAATTACAGTAAAATAAGTGACCAGATTTTTATTTAGATATGAGATAAATTATCGTCCGATCCACTTTTTAATCATCTTTTTTTTACAGCAATGCCCATCCACTTTCTCACTTGCTGTTTGGAGTGAATGGGGTGAATGGACTACATGCTCTGCAACTTGCGGAGAAGGTCTCCAATCTCGTGAAAGATCATGTCGTCGTGGATCCTGTCAAGAATCTGACGCTGCTCAAACGCGCCGGTGTGTCAATGGACCATGTGACCATACTTTCCTCCCATGGTCTGAATGGACACCTTGTGAGACTTGTTCTTCATTTGACAGTAGGAAAAGAATTGCGAAATGTGATGGTACAACTGATAACTGTCAAGGTTGGTTATCAAAATGAGCAATATATCAGTTACTTATTCCAGATAAAATTGATGAAGAAACTTGTGATAATGCTTGCCTTCGAGAACAGCACTCGTTTGGTCCGATTTCTCCAAAACGTCCTAAACTGATTACTAGCAATGAGTTGAGAAAGGTAGTCAAACCCAAAACTCTGAAACTGTTTTTTCCTTCATAATCTCTTTGTTTTAGGCATTTGGTCGTCCACTTCTTCCTATCGAATCCATAACTTCCTCAAAGTGGAGCGAGTGGGGACCGTGTAGTGTTACTTGCGGATCTGGAAGGCGTGTTCGAACACGAGATTGTCAAGAAGAAAATTGTCCAGAGCAGAATATCCAACATGAGGAGTGCAGTTTGAATAGCTGTTTAGGTTTGGGTATCCAAAACATGTCCCATTAAAGCTCCGTAATTTCAGATTTATTTATCTGGAGTGACTGGTCATCGTGCTCAAAATCTTGCGGCCATGATGCAACTCAAACCCGACAAAAGCTCTGTCTGTTCAATAATGCTGAGGTCTGTCCACCCTTTTAAATCTCCTTCCCAAAGACTGATTAATTCTAGTGCTCGAGCTACGCCGAGAGCAGAAGGTGTAAAAATCTGCCGACTTGCACTTCAATCTCAAGTGGCAACACAATCTCAGAAAACAGTTTTGATGCGCCGCAATGGTCCGAGTGGTCCTCATGGAGCGCATGCTCGTGCTTCTCATTGACCTCCACTCGACGAAGATTCTGTCAAGTAGCCGATCCAACAGTTCAAGGTTTTTGTGCTGGATCCATTTTGGAACAGATTCCTTGCGCTCCTGGAGTGAGTTTGTTTGAGACTGGAAAGTATTGAACAACTAAACTTTGGGATACATTTTTGATATACAAAAATTTCATCTCTCCCTTTTGAATGAGAAAGAACGACTGGCTCGGGGTCATTCCTTCCAAGTAGATACCTTTCGAAAATGGTAATAACGACTCAAGGTTTTCCCCCCTCATGGATAATCATGATGCGGGCGTCTGAAAGACGAGGTTGTGAAATCTAAAAAAGGCCGTCTGCCACACCGTTTTACGATCATCAAAGTGAATAAAACACCGCTCTAATTGTTATCTAATTGCCTTCTGGGTGACAGCTGCATACCGTCTGTCTATACAATTTTTTCCAGAACTGTTCACCGTCGGCAGGTGGCTGGTCTTCATGGTCGGAATGGTCGTCGTGCTCAAAAGACTGCGGCGACACTGGTCATCAAATTCGAAATCGAATGTGTAGTGAACCGATACCATCGAATCGTGGGGCCTATTGTTCCGGATACTCATTTGACCAGCGGCCATGCGTAATGGATAATGTATGTGGGGAGGAAAAAGTGAATGGCGGATGGACTGACTGGACATCGTGGAGTGAATGTACCGATTATTGCAGAAATGGGCATAGAAGCAGAACGAGGTATGGGAAAATTGGCAAATGAAATCATTCGAAGAGAAAGATCATGAAATCAAAATTAGGTCAATGAAAAGACTCAAACTGTGAAAACTGTTCTGCTAGAAAAATGAAAAATAATCAAATAGGTTTTTAGGAAGATTTGTAAACCTCAAATGCCAAACAAATTAGCAGAAAAGGATTTTATTAATCAAATTATTTGTTTCCCACTATTTTTTCATAAAATCCAGTTTCAAAACAAATTGAAATGTCGACCAGTTCTAGGCGGAACTTAATTTTGGAATATTGAATTTCGCTTACTTCGAAATTTCAAAAAATTCGAGATTTATTGAAATGTCGACTGTAGCTAGTTCGAAAAATTGTTTCAAAACAAGTTGTAACAAAACAACTGTAACAATAACAACTTATTGGGAACAAATGGGACAACATGCAATTTTGAACCGATTTTCCAAATTTCTGAACTCCAAAAACGTTTTTGTCAGAAAATTTGGAATTAGCGTAATTTAGAAATTTTGTTTTTTAGATTCCTCATTTATCTTATATATATACGCTTGTTCTGAGTTTTTCAATTTTTTTTTCAAAAACATGTTAGCCAGTAATTTTTCATTTCCATCAAATCAGTGAGAGAAATTTACATTTTTAGAAATAAAATCCTGTGTTTCTTTTCAGATTTTGTGCCAACCCGAAACCTTCACAAGGCGGTGCTCAATGTTCTGGCTCAGATTTTGAGCTCAACCCATGTTTCGATCCGGCCCGATGTCACTGTAAGTGTTTTTCTGAAACCACATCGCTTCAGACCCACTTCTTCGTTTTATTTCGCCCCACCACTTCCCCTTGCTTTTTGCACCACTCATTCCAGAAATCATTTTCCATTTTTTATCCCCTTTTTGCATGCATTTTTAGTAAGAGACGGCGGTTGGTCCATTTGGTCAGACTGGTCACCTTGTTCGGCTTCTTGTGGATTTGGTGTCCAGACACGAGATCGGACGTGCAGCTCACCGGAGCCAAGAGGCGGACAATTGTGCACAGGATTAGCACACCAAACTTCGTTATGTGATCTTCCAGCATGTGACCACGGTATACTTTTATTCAGTTCAGCATGATTTGTTTTATTTTCCGCATTTCATTGGGAGAGAAATCGTGAGGATAGGAAAGACACGGATAATTCTTACAGAGAGTGATGGTGAATGGTCAGCATGGAACGAATGGTCGGGTTGTATGGGTAATTGCGGTTTTGGTACACGAACGAGGTGAGTTGAAGAGTCTAATGAACCTTAATTTGAACGTGTTGTTCATGATTGGATCCATTAGCTAATTTAAATTTCCTACGGGGCTAATTCAATCCGCCAAATGCTCGATGTTGTTGTAAACAGAGCGCTTTCCATCAAGCTAATTAATTCCATGATTTCTCTTCAAATTCAAATCCCAAGGCAGTCATACTTCTCCGTTCTATATATAAGAATTTTACTTTTATGTCCCCCTTGTCCGTCTTTTTGAAAAATTGGCCCACTCAGTCTTTCCTCTCCCACCACTGTGTATTCTTAGAAGGAAACGAAAGACGGAGGAGGCGTCAAAACGCAAATTATGTGCGTTTATACCCTTCATCAGAAATTCAATACATTTGTCGCCTAGTGGGAGCCGTCTTGTCCCGCTTACTAGAAAGAGAAAACAATAATGGTAATTGAACACACACACACACACACACACAAACACATTGGCTGGCCTAATACACTTTGGAGAAGTAATGCGAATGTTTTGATAATTGGAATTGGCTTTGCATAGGAGAGAGAAAGAGCATCTAGCAAATTGTCATGGCCACCGTTTTCCGACCCAACCAACAATTAGGTAGAGGACAATCCGAAAATCTAAACACAATGAGCCATAGAGGACCTTGAATAGAAAAACTAAAACGTAATTGCAGAGTGCGAGCATGTGTCAGTCCACCAGCCAGTCACGGAGGACAACCATGCTTCGGACGGTCATCCGAAATCACCGAGTGTCGTCAATCAGAATCAACCTGCTCGTCGTTTATTACTTCGTCACTCTTAGCAGATGGCTATTTTATCGAAACAGACCAACAGCAGTGACCTTCAAATTCAAAAATAGTAGTTTTCATTTGAAATCATATCCAGGCGGGCCAAAACGGTTTAGAATGTCATAACTTATTTATTTATTTGTTCATCTATCTTACTAGCTCATAATTCTTGTCTACTATCTGTACAGTTCTCTCTTAGGATGACAATACAAAAACCCCATAATTCTGGGTTTTTGTATTCCATTGTTTTTTATATTCGATGCGCATATGCATCTGCCACCGACTTAGCAATTCGGCACCCAACATCTGCCCCAACGCGTTTTCCACACCCCATCGCGTTTTTGTACCCCATATATCCCAAGTCTTGTTTTGACAGCTTTGAATTGGTGATGATGATGAGGTTGACGGGCCAACTCAACTCCTGGGGCTCCTCTAGATGGCAAAATGAATAGAATACGAGAGCATTGGGTCCCACTTTTTTGCAAACACTTTTCAAACTTTTTTTTTCACACACACGCACATTCAAAGGGTGAATAAAGTGAAGGGAATTGGCTTCAACTCTGAACCACTCGAAATTCAATTTTCCCGCGCACTGCTCTCGAATTCTGAGGAATAAGGAAAGCAACTTGAAAAGGACATTTCCCATGAGTCCTATATCCGATATCGCTCTCTAGACATAGAATAAGAAAATTGAAACCCTATTCTGACATTAGGTCTCGTGGAAAAAATTAATTACACAAACGATAGATGCATTTTTTGACACTAATCCCACTTTTATCCACAAAGATCTTTTCCAATTTCCGTTTTACTTTGCACAGGAAATTGGATAAAGGGCAGAAAATATAAAATCTCATATTAAATCACAAATAAAGATTAGCTAGTGCGATTCCTTTATTCAGTTTTACCCCAACGATCCAGGTTGAGAAGAAATGGAAAACGGGAGCGTATATGTGCGTGGTGTTGGTTTCTCCCCATTTATCTTTTCGGTCCGAAAATGCACAAACAGGAGTGTTTGTGTATGTCCATAGTCATAATTCCTATTCCCAATGGGCCCCCAACCGGATAACAATCTTCAGAAATTGGCCCCAGTTGAGAATATTACGTTACGCCAAGCACCACACTGCTTCCTAATTTCAAATTCGGCACCATTTATCTTGTCAAGCAAAGGGAAAACTGAATTGGGACCCAGTGTGTGGGGCGTGTGAAAAACGACATTTTAATTAGCGGGTTTAGATTAGGGGGGCTGACAGAGAAAAGTCGGAGGCAGATGTCTATTTAATTTATTGTTTTCTACTTTCTACTGACGTTTTAATGTCCTATTCTTCTCTCTTTCTTCTCATTCATTACACAGTTTTCCTCACTGTCTCTCAAATGCCCTGTGTCACTAGCTTTTCATCCACTTCTCTCAAGTCTTCCCCCTGATTGTGAAATCATCATTACTGTCTTTTTTTCTAATAATTTATTACTTCTATTTATTACTTCCGTACGTCAGCAAATTCTATTGTGTTCATATCTAGTTTTCAAATGTCTTTCCTGAAATCCCACTTCTTTCTGACCCTGTTCATTCAGATCTCAATCATATCAAAGTTAAATATTGTAAAAAATTTTGATGAATAAACGAACTATTGAAAAGTCAAATACACGATTGAAATACCGAAAATCAGGTGGTATCATTTCGGAAGAAGCAGACATTCAAATTAAGCGTTGACGGGAAAATATGACGCCAGATTGGCAAAAAACAGCCAATTACAGCGCATCTGGGTTCATAGAGGGTAAGATGTTCCTTTGAAAATACAAGCTACGCTTTCATAAATTTAAATAAATGTAATCTACAGTGTTCGCTATAAATTTATGAAAAAAAGTAATCTTCAGTTGAGTTTCACCGTTTTCAGGAGTCTGGGGCTCGGCTGTCAAGTGTCCGATCATTTTGAAAATTTTCGAGGTTTTCGACATACCTAGATTGGAAACTTTGCATTCACAGAATTTTTTGAGAATTCTCATATTTTCAGTTTTGTGCCGATTTCTGAAATATACCCCTTTTCTGTTTTTGTACTGAAAACAGTAAAAAAGCAGGTGTCCTTCAGAAATCGGCAAGCAACTGAAAAACTAGTAGTTCATCAAAAGTCCTGTGAATGCAAATTCTCAATCTAAAACTGTTTTATGACTTCCAATATTTTCAAAGTAATCGGACTATTTACAGCCGAGCTTCAGACTCCTAGGAATAGTTAAAATGAACTGAAAAAAAAGTTTTTCGTATCGAAATTCAGAGTTAAAAAGAACAATCGGCACAAACTTCGAATTGTAGCGCATATAAGTTCAAAGAAGTTGAAATTGTTAAAAAAGTACAAGATGTGCCTTAAAAATTCAAATCCACGGATACACAACGTAGTAGCAAGTTACAGCGTATATTATTTCCAATTGCAAGAATGACTAGATGTAGCGGTGTTATCAGCCACAACCTCAAACCTTTTGACCATTTCCTTGTCAACAACTCACTGATACGAAGTGTCTTGACTGACAACCCTACTCATTTAATATTCAACGAATTTGCCATTCCTTGTCAACTGCTGCAGTTCAAGAGTACACAATTTCTAATATTCCACGTACTACTCCAAAATGAGAGTACTTCTCTATTGTTTCGCGGTTATTCTACTTGAATGCTTCATTGTGGGCTCTGCGAAAATTCTAGTCTATTGTCCATCCATTAGCAAAAGCCACGTAATTCTGTGTGCTAAGTATGCCGACGTTTTACACAATGCTGCACATGACACGGTTTGAATTCTTTTCTTTTTTGTTTTCCCCCTATGCTTCTCCTTGTCCTTATTCCTCAATATCCTTATTTCCATTTCCTTCTTGCTCCGCCCCCGCCCAAATCCCAATTCGACAGATGGTTGTGAAAAGCCACGCCTCCTAGTTTTGAAAAGTGGGCGGGGCCACCTCGACGACGACTAGGATGCCCTATTCGGCTCATTCGTGTCGTCCACACACCCTCCTGGTCGGTCGCCTTCCTCCTTCTCTTTCCCCGTCCTCCCCCAGAAATGTCTTCTTCATCCCCTCAATCCGCCTCCTCGTCAACCAGTCAGCCTGACGATTGTAGGTGCTATTTATCCCTTCCTACTCATCTGCGCTGAACAACTTTGACGGTGCGAAACATGCCAACGTATGGAGACTTCACAACGTCACCCATGCGTACGACGCCAAGTTGGATTCGTTGGCCAACGTGATGGAAGACTCGCATATTGGATTCCTGGATCGTCTCACTTATGATGTCGACTTCTGGATGGAAATGTGTGAAGGTAAGTGTGGGTGGGACTAGTCTTTCAAGTTTTTAAGGCTTCTGCATTCCCGTACCTCTATATACTCATATTATTTTCCAGATCTTGCAAGACAACACCATCGAATGCAACATCTTATCGACTATGGATTTGATCTTGCCCTCTTCAACGACATCGACCCTTGCAACTCGGCTATTATAAGGTGGGTTAGATCCCATATCCTTCCGCTTGATGGAAATGATATGTAATCTAGCTTACAGGTCTCTCAACATCTCCAAGACGGTGCTACTCTCCAGCGAGGCCATCATGGACAAGATTGCATGGGACCTAGGCAAGATGACGACTATGGCAGAAAATTGATACTACTACGGATCGGATTTCAGGACTACCCATGCTGCCGTCCTATGTGCCCAGTATAGAGGAGAACCCAAACCACGATCGTATGAACTTCTTGGAGCGGATGTCCAATGCATATAAATATTTTCAATCCCTTGTTGTCCATTATCTCCAAGAAAGACGTGTTCTTCATGTCAGTTACATTCCCCTCTGTTTCCTTACCTTTGTTAAATAAAAGAATTGAAGAAAGCAAAGAAAACGGTTCATATGGGATTAGTGTTAGGGTTTTAGAGGGGATCAGCAGCCATCAAGAGAAGTGCGTCGATTTGTCTTCCGTGCCTATCTGTCTCCCTCTGTCGATCAGTTTTCTTCTGTCGGTCCATCCGTCATTCGTCCATTGCTCGTCCCAGTAATCTGTCTGAGAAGAGTGCATACGGAGAATTTGGCAAGGGTTGCTTTAATGGATTTATGAGGCGTCTGTGGTGTCTTCTCTTCCGTATACATAGAGTTCAAAACAGGATCCCGCAGATTCTAGGGAGTTGTTAGGCGCAAAATTAAGCGCACTTCTGCATTCATAGAAAACCTAATATAAACTTCTAATGAGAGCCTGGTTTTTTTCAAGATAGTTTATTTTTTGCAAGAAAATAGATATGTGTAGCCATGCAGAAGTTTTATAATGGTTAGCCAAAACTTTTGGTTCATCGAAAATCATGAAAAAACTTCTCCTGTGTCTTCCTTACGTGGGTTTTACTTTCAAAAAACCAGAATTGTAGATATTCCGGAAATATATTGCTGATGATTTCCCACCAATCATGGAAATGCTCAAAAATGTATCGCTCGTGTTTGTCAATACAGATGAGACTTTCGACATTGCACGATCTTATTCACAGAAGTTTGTTTACGTCGGAATGCTTGGCGCCGAGAATTCTGCAAATGAAACACTTCCAAAAGTTTGAAGACAACTCTAATTCGGGTTTCGATGTTTTTTTTGTTTTCAGAAGCTTGATGAGTATTTTAGCAAAGGGAAAGCAGGATCCATATTTGTCTCGTTTGGTACTGTTACACCATTTCGTGCATTAACACAACAGGTTCAACAATCAGTTTACAATGCAGTTCAAAAACTTCCACATTATCACTTTGTCATCAAAACTGCTCTCGGTTTGTTTTTCAGGTGCTGTAAAAAAACATGAAAATAGATTTCAGACGACATTAGTACAGCTGAATTATTTGCTGATGTTCCGAATGTTGATCTGGTGGATTGGGTCCCACAATCTGCAATACTAAGTGAGATTTATTTATTAATCAAGTCTAAACTTTTTTCCCAGATCACCCGAATCTTAAAGTGTTCGTATCTCATGGAGGAATGAATAGTGTTCTTGAAACTATGTACCATGGAATACCAATGGTTATCATGCCAGTGTTTACGGATCAATTTAGAAATGGGAAGAATGTAGAACGTCGGGGAGCTGGAAAAATGGTTCTTCGTCATCTGGTAGTTAATGAAACATTTTTCGATGTTATAAATGAGGTTTTGACAGACGAGAGGTATTAATAATGTATTTTTTGAAAAAAAAATATTTTCGTTTTCAGTTACACAACATGTGCCAAACGAGTATCGAAGTTGATGAAAAGTCGTCCATTTACTTCAGAGGAACGAGTGACAAAGTGGGTTGATTACGTACTAGATCATGAAACTTCTGAGCATTTCAACCTGGAAATCAATAATCTGACTCTCATTCAGCAATATTATATTGATATTCTATTTGTTTACACTATTCTTCCATTGTTCTCACTGTTTGTTTATAAGCGATTTTTCTAGAATAGCTCCACAAATAAAATTTGTCTTAACGGTAAACGGCTGCACCATAATGAAACAAGGGGTTTTTACCATACTTGTGGGAAAGATGGCCGGCCCGCGGGCCGGACCGGGCCGGGCCATGGCCGGGCTGAGATTTTTCTGAAAGCGGGCCGGCCACTGTTTTTGAAAATTTTTAAATTTCAGAGCAAATCATCATTTTTCAAGATGGCTTTTCTCCTTAATAAATAAAAATCCACACTAGAGGACGATTCAGTCGGAAAAAACTGTTTTGATGCCGTTTTTAGAAAAAATTTCATCCTTGTCTTAATGAAGTTTGATTTTTTTTTTTGCTAAAAATTCAATTAACTTGACTTTTTCGGATGGTTTCATGCATTTGGATTAATATTTGTGCTATTAGGTTGAGCGAAAATTCTTTGTAATTTTTTGAATATTTTTCGGTACAAAATTTATTCAAAGAAAATGGATCTCAATGTGGTATATTTACCAATAGTGTACATGACTACTTGCCAAGCGATGAAAGTTGAGCGGTCCCATTAGCGTAGAACTCGGTAGACTGGGAAGCGAAAACGTCATCCAACCACTGTTTTACGTCCTTTCTATCATGGAACTTTTGCCTAACAAGGAGATTTTTCAAGGAACGGATTATTTGCTATTCAGTTAGGGTCAGGTCTGGTGAATACGTGGATGACAGAAGATCTTGACTCCGAGCATCTGGAGTTTCTGACGGGTCTTCAAAGTAGTGGGTCGTCTTGCGTTGTCGTGAATCATCAACAAGCTGGAATTTTTCGGGCAATTTAATCGATAAGCCTGGAATGCTATTTTCATTTGAGTGCTGTTGAGGTCCTCATTTATAGTGATGGCAAAAAGTCTTCTGAAGATAACGCCTTCACTGTCCCACCAAATGGAAAATATAACTTTTTCACGTGAAGTTCTCCTTTGATGCCCGTTTTATCGGTTTTTTCGGCCGGAACCCTTTGTCTTTTTCGAGTCGTCCGCAGTGATAATATTCTCAACCCAATTGATGCTACGTTTCATAGTAAGCCGAGAATGTGCCAAGTCGCAACGCAATGGTTTTAGTGAATCCGCCAAAAGGGGAGGGGCAAGTTGACCAAACTTTGGTACCCTTCCAGATTCGTGAAGATGATCAATTATGGTTCTGTGAGGATGGTTGAGACTTGATGCAAGCTCGCGTGACGTTGCTCTTGGTTCTTCTTCTACCGCTCTAGAAGTATCCTCGTTGAGATCAACACGTGGTAGGCCAGACCTTCGAGATCGTAGTTCTCTTCGGAGAATCTTTTGAACCAAAACTTTATTGTAGTGTAGGACATATAGTTCTGGCCTAACACTGTACACATTTTACGACAAGCTACGCTGCATTTGTGACCTTGGAGAAACCCGAACAAAAAAGCATCCCTGAGAGCATGGTGGTCTCTGGACGAATTCTCGGTCTTTATGATCGCCGTCGGTAACTTCAAGAAATCTTTTAAGCATGCACAACTGGTACTACAATATAGAAAAAAACAGAACGATAAAAAGTTAAATCAAAGCTGAGATATGACGGTCCAAAAAATTACAAAGACTTTTCGCTCAACCTAATATTAAAAATATATTGGCACATTTGAAAAGTAACATTTTCGAAAAGTTGCCCTAGGCGGCCCGGCCATCCACATGTATGGTTTTTACATTTAAAAAAAGTGAAATTTCCAAAAATTTTCGGAATTTTGCAAAACTTTACTTTGACAGAGATTTGATTTTTATTTTTCATTGATCCCGAACATTTTTTGAAGAGACTTTAAAAAAATTACTGGAAACTCGGGCCGAGAAAACTATGAAAAAACCCCCGGAACGTTTTAAGTATTCTAGTGTATGCTAACTGTCGTAATAGAAAAATTTAAAAGTACATCATCTGCCAAAAATTGAAACATTTCAATCAATAATAAAATTCGACCTTTGTTATCTCATATTGCACCACAAACATAAACACAATCTGCAACCCATAAACGTCAAATATTGCATTTTATCTTATCAACTAAACACTGGTCTGCACTGGTTGCTCGTTCAATTCTACTTGTTTCATTATCTGCATTCACACGACAACTGATCAAATATACAACAAATTAGCTAATTTAGTTATTCGTGATCTGTCACTTTTTTCGAAGAACAACGTATCTACTCTCTTCTGTTGCCTATCTTCAAATGAAAGAATTTATATTTTATTTTGTTGTTTTTTTATTCGGATGTTATTCTGTAGATGGTGCAAAAATCCTGACATATTGTCCTTCGATCAGCAAGAGCCACGTTTTGGTCTGTGCTAAATATGCCGATGCTTTACATAATGCTGGACACGACTCGGTGAGATTTCTGCTTTTTTTCAGCATTGTGGTCATGAATACCAACTTACATTATTTATGATAATATTTAGTTTATATTTTTCAAATTTCAGGTGCTGTTCATACCTACTTACGCAGAAGCTCTAAACACCTTTGACGGTGCAAAACATGCTAAAGTATGGAGGATGCTTAATGTTACCGCTGCATACGACACCAAGTTCGATTCGTATGCCAGTATCATGGAAGACACTCATATTGGATTTCTTGATCGCATGTTAAACGATGTTTACTTCTGGATGGACATGTGTGAAGGTACTGAAATAATTTTTTAGTTAATTGCAGCTATCTCACTTCACTCTAGAAACACATGAATATTCCAGACATCCTCAAACAATTTCATCGTTTACAATACCTAGCCGATTACAAATTCGATATTGGAATCTTCAACGACGTGGACCCTTGTAATCCGGCAATAGTAAAGTCAGTTTAAGTTTACATAATCAAAAGTGTTATTTATGCTTACAGAGCTCTCAACATATCAAAGACAATTTTATTGTCCACGGAGCCTCTTATGGATAAGATCGCTTGGGATCTAGGTACCAGACAACCATAGTAGAAAAATCAAACAAAATAGTTTGTTTTCAGGACTACCAATTCTACCATCTTACGTTCCCAGTATGGAAGAAAATCCAAACCACGATCGAATGGGATTTTTTGAGCGAATGTCCAATGCGTATAAATATTTCCAATCAATTGTTATTCATTATCTGCAAGACTGGAAAATGGCCAATGTAAGTGCTAATTGCGACTGTATTCCCACAATGTTTCGGAGGTGTTAAAAGTTATTTGACATTATGTTACCCTGTTTTGATGAAAACGTCTGCTTGCAAAGCGTTTATTTTTAACGAGTTAACGCTCAATACAGTAAAAATGACATTTACGGACCGTTGATTTTCAAAACGCTAGAAGTAACTAACTTTCTCAAATGCTTTATCTATGGCATTCAGAATACTTTTTTTTCAGCTTTTCCGAAATTACATTTCTCCGGATTTCCCATCAATTATGGAAATCATCCGGAACGTATCAGTGGTTTTTGTCAATACGGATGAAATGTTTGACATAACAAGATCGTATTCTCAGAAATTCGTTTTTGTCGGAATGCTTGAAGCCGAAAAATCAAAGAATGAAACACTTCCCGAGGTTTGCATTTCACTAGGTTGCTGGCCAAAATTCTAAAATACTCATTTTAATTGAATGCAAGTGGAAAAATGTGGACTAAGTTAAGATTTACCAAATTTTGAAAGTTTTTCGGATGTTTCTATGAAAATTTTGAACTTTGCGTTTGTTTTCATAAAAATTCACGACTTTGAAAAATATCAGTTTAGGTCGGTTTTGCATGAACAACACTATTTTTGTTTCCATTTTAAGTGTGTAATTTAAAGTTATTCAGCTAATATTATATCAATTTGAGGCTTATTAACAAAAAAATTAACAAAAAATGAAAAAAAATGACATAAAATGAAAATTTCAAAAAGAGATGAAATATGTTTAAAGTTTGAAATTTCCATGGAAACAACCGCAAAACAGGAAAAAATCGGCAAATTTTAACTTAAGCATAATTTTTCCACTTGGCCCCCCCCCTATTCACTTGCGCCACCCCTCCCCCTTTTCTCATGGGCCCCCTTGTCATAAAGATCCAAAATATCAGTGATTAAAAAAAAACCTAAAATAATAAACTGTTCATTTTGAATTAGAATTTTGGCCAGAATTGGATGTGTGTGGCTATGGCACATATGACAAAATAACTATTACAGAAGCTGAACGAATATTTTAGCAAAGGCAAATTAGGATCTGTTTTTGTTTCCTTTGGAACTGTGACTCCGTTCCGTGTCCTACCCGAGCGAATTCAACTATCAGTTTTTAATGCGATTCAAAAACTGCCTGATTATCATTTTGTGGTCAAAACTGTCATTGGTAGGTTTAGTCTACGATGGCAAAAATAAATTCTTTTCAATATCCAGATGATACCACTACCGCTGAACTGTTCGCTGGCGTACCAAATGTTGATCTAGTGAACTGGGTACCACAAACTGCTATATTAAGTAAGTATAGAAAATTTAATCGATTGTGAAAACTTTTTTCCAGATCACCCTAACCTGAAAATGTTTGTTTCTCATGGAGGAATGAATAGCGTGCTGGAAACAATGCATCATGGAATACCAATGGTTATCATGCCAGTGTTTACGGATCAGTTTAGAAATGGGAAGAATGTCGAACGTCGTGGAGCTGGAAAGATGGTTCTACGGCAAACAGTTGCTAATGAAACTTTCTATGAAACCATGAACGAAGTTCTCACAGATGAGAGGTAATTTTGATGTTTTGAAGTTTACGATAATGAATCCTATCTGATTTCAGATACACAAAAGGTGCTAAACGGACGTCACAACTAATGAAAAATCGGCCGTTCACTCCAGAAGAAAGAGTCTCTAAATGGGTTGATTTTATAATGACCCATGATACATCAGAGCAGTTTCATTTGGAGAGCAATAGTTTCACATTCATCGAGCATAATCAGCTAGATATTTTCTTTGTTTTTATCCTCCTTCCTTTAATCACTTTTTTTGTTTACAGACGGTTTCTCAAAAGAAAGGTAAATTGAATGAGTTAGGCTGTTGTGTGTGAAATAAATTTTTTATTTCATAAAATTGAACGATAAATAAGTTTGATATACCTGTGATATACCAACGATAGACTTAATAGCCTAAATATGCTTAAAGCCTAAATATGTGTGAACGACGTTTAGAAAAAAAAACAATTTTTTCATTCAGGACAAAATGTCAGAATCAAAATATTCCGCCAGAAATTCACATCATATAATCAATGACTTCTTGATAGAGTTGAATAGGCTGCGCATTTGGTTGATACATTTGAAACAAAAGGAAAAATTGTCCAATGTCATGATGAGTTTGTGAAATCGCATGAAAAATGGTCAACAGTTCGGAGAATCTTAGTGGTCCGTTTTTCTTGTTAACTTGGCAACAGTATTGGAACAGCAAGGATCCGTACACTTTTTGGTAGGAACTTATGAGAGTCCTACCTTTTACAGATAGATTGACGGCTGCTGAAAATAACTAGGTAAAAAATCAGTAATGAGTTCGAATGTTTCACCTGGATTGCATAGAATAATAGCACTCAGAAGTAGGTATTCTTCTGGATTGATATTCAACTCGATGATACGACCCATGAGCTTACATCGGATTCGGTTCAAAAATTCTGGATTATAGCATGTAATTCTTTTGATGCATTCTGGAAATACATCGCTGCCGTCTGGAAACGACAAATATCCCTGCCTGATACCAAAAGATCTCATAGCAGATGCAAAAATGACATGATTGAAGTGAGCCGTTTTCATGAATACTTGAAGATCTTGCAAAGATAAAAACTTGACAAACTGGAAGGTTTTAATGAACTCCATTGATGCCAATTGGTGCACGCATCCCCAATCATGGGAAATGAAACGGACTTCCGGAGTCTTTTTGATAAGCTTGATGTGCTCGTAATCGAATATTGAGCTCAACCGGAAGTCAGGAGGGAGCATCATGTTAGCACAAGTGTAGCTCCGTTTTTTATCCAATACTGATAATTGATTTATCAATTTGGTCAAATTTGTATACTTTTGAGTATTGATCATTCCAACATCAACGCATTTATGGAATCGGCAGTATTTACATTCGGAGTGGGTTGCTCGGTTTTCCGGAGTATAGCAGGCATCTTGATGTGGACATTGCTGTATTGGAACTTTTGCAAGGACGGTTCGCCGGAAGAATGAGCTACACGCACTGCAGCTGATCGTCTGAAATATATTTTATCAATTTTTTCGCTGAAAAAAGTTTTAGAAAATACCCCATAATTGTATAGGCTTGTTGACTGACCACAAATCACACAAAATTGGCTTTCCATAGAAGCAAGTTCAAAAATCATCTGACAAGTAATGAACTCCGAAGTATCTCAAATCTACTTTATATATACATGGCTGATGTGTCTTTAAGTCACGCAGATTACAATTATGGACATGTTGAGGAAAAAAAATTGTGATATGTGACCGAGAGAGAAGTGTGAATAACCACTGATCGAATTTGCAGATTTTAGCTGAATAATAAAATATTATACGTAAACTACATACACTCAATGAAGCTTGAAAAAAAGAAGCCGTGCTAAGAGGAGAATTAGGAGAAGTTTGTTCCCGATTATGGCGAAGGAAGACGGCTCCCTAGAAAAGTTTACTAGGATCAAAAGATCAAATGACTCAGATATCACAACTGATGAAGCTAGTTTTCTCAGAAATCTGAAGAAAAAAATCTGCAAAAACAAAAAAAAAATCAGCAAAGGAAACTACATTTTTGTTCGATCACGAAATGAATTATAAATGAAGAAAGATTAGAAAAAATGAAGAAAGAAAAAAAATAATGTCGTGACGAATGTCTAGAAGATTTTCTTAATCACGGATCAGACCGGAAGCTAAATTTTGTAGTTGTGTTCACGAAGTGGAACTTATAAGGCACGTGATAGGATCATGAAGATGAAAAACTCTATCGCTTTTCTGGAAAAGGGAGTATGGTGAAATTACTAAAGTAAGTCTTTAAAAACAATTCATACCTGTTCAATAAATTTGAAAAGTATTGTGAACAAATAACCCACATAAACACAGAAGGCTTAAACTTGAAGCAAAATTATTTTTGTGTCTACAATGGGTTTATTTAAAAATGTTCATGATATTATACGCCCTTACACAGAAAAAGTACGAACTGACAGAAAATTGTCCCGGATAATTTCTCCCGGATAAAGTCCACATGATTCCTAAACCATTGAATAATTTTTCAAGACACACTTGAATCGGATTAAATAATTATAAAATCAGATGAAATTTTACTCTATACCTACCACACAATCTCTGTAATGGTAGACCAAATTTCAATTTCCAGTTCCTTATTCTTCTACGGCAGACTGTATGTTATTGACGATGTTGTAAATTAACCACTTTTTGATATCTTTTACAGAAAATGAGATATGTGACTCAAAGTTGTCAGTTTGGGTAGCACTTTATTATTGTTTACCGTATTTTTTCGGCACGATACATAAAACTTATTTTTTAAATTTTCTCGAAAGCATTTTTTATTTTTAAATCAAACTCGTTTCAGATGTATTTTGCGCATTTCTGATCTTATTTACAGTATATGTGTTCTGAACTTCAAACACATGAAAGATCACCAAAGAACCCGTTGATTCTGAAACTTTGAGCCAGACATTTAATCTGATAAAATATGTCTGAAAAACGCAAAAAGAAAGAAAATTGGATTTTGCGAAGAAAAAAGAACTTTTGCACCTGAACACATATCCACATTTTTTCCATAGATACTCATTTGTGCTACACACTTTGTCAGAAGATGTCCGATGAGAAAGAACTTGAGTTTGAAGTTGGCGAAGAAGAGAGAGACTGGATGGATCAACTGCTAGAATGGAGTAAGTTGAAAAACAAGTGAATCTGCAATTTGATGGAACAGACTTTTGTCCAATTCTTTAACAGACCCCTCACACAATCAATTTATTGAATAAATGATTCCAATTGAAAAAAAAAACATAACAATCATGAAGCAATGACGTCTTTTGATCTAATTCAACCGCGTGTTGAGCTAGTTGGAGTCTGTTTCAATTAAAATTACCCATCTTTTAATGCTTTCAGCAATTACATCAACAGATCAAGAATTGAATCATTAGGGCTTAATTTCAAGCTCCCACTTTCATTTCTCGTTCTTTTTGCAGTACCAGGAACTCATTGTCTGACGTCAGTGAGATCATATATTGGTACCAGAAACATTTTGACACAGTATCTATAGGATTTCTGAAAGCAATATTTTTGTGTGATAAAACATGATCAATGAGTTTTCACGATATTCTATGAAACAGATAAAACAAAGTAAATTTTTCTTTCGATTCTCTAGACCCTCTTCCCATTGTTTCTGCTGTGTGCGGGTATTCACACATGTTAGGTGTTTTGAACGGAAATTAGGTAAATGGACCTGAGGGTTTCATGAGCATCGGGCCCCGTGTTCAACGACTTCATTCGTTATCATTCAGCTCACTTTTGAGTAATGTCGAGCGAAGAAACTGTCTTCACGATTTCTGCACAAGAAGAGGTTTTGGAGAGCCTTTTTGAACCAAGAATTCCAAAGCCACAAGTAGAGTTGAAAACGGACACTTGGGTCAGTCGCATCAGTAAGTTATGAAGTTTGTAAGGGAAATAGGTCATTAACTGTGCATCGGTATCACGGCGTAGCTCATAAATCTTGTAAAAGTGATCTAGGATTTCTGTTCTGAACAAATGTCAAGTTCACTAAAATAAGAAATTCAAACCGAACAAACCAAATTTGAGCAATTACAAGAAGTTTCGATGTGGCAAGTCGAATTACATTTTCAGAATATTTATTTTCGGATTATTCGTGAATTAAAAAGTGCTTTCATTTGCTCAAATCTAATCACAGTCCTACCTAACTTTTTCTCAGAGAGAAAATGTATAAAAACGGCGATCTGGCTGACTTAAATAGTTTCTGATCTTCAAAAAGTGAATTTTTGGGGATAATTGAATGAAATGAGAATTATCACAAGGCGCGCTTTTTCTGGACTCCGCAAGACTTATTTTTCATTGTTGTCTTCCTTTGAATTATAGTATGCATAATTATCCATACGTTTTCTCTGCCCAGCGGACGAGACTCTGAGTCCTTTTTCATATACGGTAACCAATCGGTAAAAAATCTGACTGAAAACATATAATCACAAGTTTGAGTCATTCTTTTCATAATTTACAGACACAATATCATCAAAAATGTGATTGGTTTTTTGCCGATCCCTCAGTTGGTAGTAAAAGAAGCCCCCAAACAATGACGCAACATTTTGCACTTTCATTTTGGATTTTCAAACCAAAGAAATTGTCATTGCTTTCTCTTTTTTGCATACATCTCCTCAGCATGAAGTCAAACACCATTCAAATGAAAATTTTGCTTCAGAATCCAGAATCCAGTGTTGAAAAAAAGTTAATTTCCATTGTCTTTCTGCAAATGAAATCAACCGAAAGTCACACGATTTTGTACAAAATGAAATCAAGTGAGCTGGTGGAAAAAATCGCGTTAATTTTCCAATTCGAAACGGAGAGCGAAATGAATTTTCCTAAAGCGAAAGAGCAGAGGAGCTGTTTCTCATCTCGATTGCTCATCTTTCTCCCGTTTTCCTTCCTTTTGCAGCAAAGAAATTGTTATTTTCACGTAGTGAAAACAGACGACTAAAAGCAGATGGCGTGTATGTTTGAGGAAAACTAGAAAAACAGAAAGGTCCCAACTTAATGAGCAGTAAAAATTACGTTGTTTTTGTGGATCTGTCTGCGGTGAAGACTATGATTATGACGAGTTTCATCCTTTCGGTGCTCATGTTTCTCCGGTTTACTTGGGTTACTCATTCACTTCTAATTGCTTCCAGTAGAATAACTTGCATTTGTCTGCATTAAAAACTGGACCACCATGTTGTACATAACTTGCACTTGTCTTGTTTTTACCCATGAAACTTGAGAGCCGTGTAGCTTTGTGTGCGGCCCTTCTTCCACAAAGTGTCAAAAATGAGTCAGTGGACCCTTTTGCATATGGAATCAGTTTCTATCTCCTCCACTTTCTCCCCCAACCACACCTCTCGTGAATCCTGCAAAAAAAGAAGGCATAAGACTACTGTGTTTGGTTAAACAAAGTTTTGGCATGTGAGAGTGTAAGCGAGGGTGCCACATGTGACTACAGATTTTTCCGTGTTGAGGAATGAATGATGATTGTAATTAAGACGCGATGTATACGAATTGTAATTTTCATTTGTTGGCAAAAAAACAAAGAGCACGACATGAGTCACGTAAATAGATCCAAGTTCAAAACCCCATGCCGGAAAATTATGAAACCCCAAACTGAGCCTATTGAGATAATTATGTAAAGCAGAACATTATTAGTCATCAGACAAGGTAACTTCAACAACTTGTAAGCCCATATTTTGAAATAAGTTTCAGTATAAGTAGAGAATAGCCTATCTAGAGACCTCTTAAAATATAAGAATCCGCTAGCCTTTAAAATTTTAGACGTTTTCTCAAAAAAAATTTTTTCAGTTTTCGAATGAATCTCGAAAATTGTAGAAAAATTCGAAAACAAAAAACTTTTTTTTCGAGAATATGTCTGAAATTAAAAATTTCTTAAATGTCAAGCATAACACACAGAAAAGGCGATTTTTGGTACTGAAACTGACATAACTCGGCTGAAACTGGCGAGCGGATTCTAAAATTTTGAGATGTGTTTAGATAGGTTGTTCTCAACCTATCTTGAAAATTTCAAAAATCTGGGTTCAGAAGCCTTGTGAGTCCACTGCTGAACATAATAACCAATGTTTCACTTGAGCCAAACATGATCCTTTCCTGCTCACTAATTCGAGGAATGCCAGACAGTATTTTGTGTTATAATCGTTGTGATCGCTTAGAAGTTTATCCCATAAAAAAATAGTTCATACCATCCCCCGTATCCAATTTCAACAGTGGATCACCGATCAAAACTTTTTTGTTGATCTTTTATTGGCTATCCATGTCCATTCAAATGTGTCAATATTGCTCATTTATCATATAGAGTTCTATACGGAAAATAAGCGTGGTGTTTTTGAATGTTTCCTAATTGTGATTTTTGTGTCTCGAAGAAAACAGAAAAATTAGTGCTTCTTCTATTCAATGATTCAGTCTAAGAGCTTTCCTGTCTTTTCGTATTAGAAAAGATTAGTCCAAGTCAAAAAAATGCACTAAACTGTCTGTTCAAAATTCTTTGGAGATATAAAAATCCCATAAAATATTCGTCCCCTCATTTACATTTTCCTTTCTTCTCTTCTCAGTTTGGTGTTGTTGACAAAACCAACAAAACTCATCAGTTTTGTTTTCAAGTGGCCCACACATGTTGGTTTAATTTCATTACATGGCGGGTACTTCAAAGGTCAAAGAAGTACGCGAGGTTTTTTCAGTTGTAGTACTTCAAATACTGAGATTTGATATTTATATTTGGTTACCGTAAAACCTCTAATAGAACGACACCCGGATCGTCCGGGATCCT